GGCCGGAACAGAGATTGTTGGCGTATTCATCCACCTGGCAAACCGAGTCCAACACTGGTGGCGGGTGAGTGAATTGCGCCACGGCAAGGGAGAACCTCGGAAAGTTTCCGCGCGTTACCCTAATCGGCGATGGCTCCTGGTCCCATTTTCCGCATCCGGTGGGGACTTGTCCTCGAATCGGAAGATGGTCGCTGGTTATACACTCGCTGCGACCCACCCATGCTTGGGCCCCGTTGATGTTGGTCCAGGCAAGATCCAGCGTGTTTCCGGCTCGATGCGTTGGCTCGCCCACAATCAGACAAGTGAGATTATAGCGTTCCGCCCATCTCTCAATTTCGATTCCTTGTCCGCGTGGGCGGGCAGCATCTGGTTGCCATGCGCGGTGCACCGCGTTGAAGTCACCAGCCGCGACAGATCGTGGTGGTGGGTCCCAGCTGAGGAGTGGTCGAATGGCCGTCGGGTCGTTCGGGTCCTTGTACACGTTGAGAAACGTGACTCCGTTTACCACAACCCAGCAGTAATCCGCCGTCGGGGGATGGCAGGGAAAGATTTGTCTTGCCGAAAGGTTCCCTGTATTGATTCGTGTATAAGTCACAGCCCTGGGTCGAATGTTTACGCCGCCATGTGGTATATGACAGTCGTATCCAGGGTGTGACTTTGTTTCCTTTGTGGCTTTTTTCCACGAAGGTTCTTGTATTAACACTACATCGACGCCTAGCTCGTAAGCTCGGGAAAGCGCGATGTCGTGTGATGAGCCTCCCCTACCTACGTTGATCGACATAAAACTTATCGTAGGTGGGAGGCTGGAAGGGACCCTTGAGGGGCCCTTCAGGAAGACTCAACAGGATTCGTCGTTCCTGTGGCCGTGGCGTCAGAGGCGACGTCGGTCATCAGAACTTCGAAACTGTTGTTTGATTTCACCACTTCGGGTGAGGCTTGCTTTTGCTTGGCAGCCGCTTGTACTGCTGCCTCAGCGCGACGGGCTGCAGCTTTAGCCCTCACCACGGCCGCTAGCTCGCGTTGGCTCGCGATGCGAATATTGGCCAGTTGCTCGTTGCTAACGGGTCCGGCCTTAGTTGGGCGCGCCAGGCAGGTTCGACTGTCGGACCTGTGCGGTCCTCCGCAGTTGCGACACTTGGTGTGAGCACGGCACTCGTCTGTCGAGTGCATCGTGGAGGTGCAGTTCCCACAGGCTTGAGCGCGAGAGCAACCGCGGGTTCCATGGAACTGCAGGCAGCGTTTGCATTGCTGCACAGTCTGTCGCGGCTTGTGTGGGACCGCGACGCCCGAGTCGTCGAACAGGCGGAATCCTTGTCTTGGTGCTGCTCCCTTCTTGAAATGGGCAAGCCATGACTGGTATGGAGCGTCAAGGCGAGTTTTCCCGTGGGGCCGTACCTTGACTGGCACGGCCTTTGTGACTCGCGTGATCTCCTCGATCACCATCTCCTCCGTCACATGCACCTTTCCGAGGAGGGTGTGAATGGCGATAGGGACCGTCGAGATCCGGAGCGCGACAAGGTCCGAGGCCTCCTCTAGCCTTACCTCGATTGGGAGGAAAGATTCCGCCGCGCTCAATAGGAGCTTGCGAGATTCCAGGTTCTTCGCTCTGAGTGCAAAGCCAGTTGGGACACGGTAGACGTGTTCAATTGTTGCCTGAGGCGCGTTGGTCAGCTGCGCCACCGCTTCTCTGATGCCAGCTGGCGAAAGATTTCGCCACTGATGTTTTGATTTTAGCCGGAGGAACAGTCGGTTGTCCGGCGAGGACGAAGGAGCCGTCTTGGCCGATTTTTTGGTCGGCGGGGTCGGCTTTTTCGGGGCACCACTTGCTATCACTGGCGTCGGGTGATTTGGTAACTGATTCCCGGCTACAGTTGCCCAGGTTGAAGTGACCTGGGGCACCGCGACGGCAGGATTTGCTGTCCTGGTGGTCGATGGTGGTGAGGGCCCGCTGTTGCTGGCCTGCTGGCCGATGGGGCGGGGGGGGAGACTTGTCGGCACTGGTGTGGTTCCAGTGCGCAGGAAGTGGGCGAGGGCGCCCCTCAGACACACGTTCATCGCGTCCAAGTATTCTTTGTTATCTGTCGTTTTCATGGACAGGATAACACTTTCCAATGTTTGTAGCACCGTTGACCCTATCTCGAGCCTGGCTGAGGTGTTTGCAGCCCGCTTTCTTTCGGCTTCGAGTAAAGCCTCTATTTCCGGCGGGTGAATTGGCGTGGTGCTGGTGGGAGCACCACCAGAAGAGTAGTTGTGGCACTCAGCCGTCCCTGGAATCGAGGCCGGGGGTGGCTGAGGTCTTGAGGCATTTGCTGCCTCTGTGCAAGTGGGGACTTCCGTTCCCGTCGGTATACTTTTGATTGATGTCCGCTTTACTACGGGAACAGCAATTTTTCTAGCCGCACGGCGTGCGGGCTCGGTCGTTGGTTTCGTCGAGACTGCTTTCTCGACGACAATTTCCGGGGTCTTTACCGCCTCTAGGGAGCTCTCAGCTCCTGCACTTGCCCATCGTGAGTCTTTTAGACCCTTGTTTATCAATTCATTGATTATTTTTTCGGCTTCCAACATCACAGTGTCGGTTTGGCCGCGTTCCTCCAATTGTGAGATAATGTCGACTTCCATCTGGTCGAGATCGGAGGCGTTAGCTACCAGTCCAGAGCCTTTCATTCTCTGACCTGCCACGCTTCTAATTATTTCACGCATGGATTTCGGGGTATCCAGACTTGTCTGGTGGTTGTGTTTCCCTATTTTGGAGGTTAACACAGATTTCGCGGGTTTCGCGGATTTTGGGGGTACCGGTGCCATTTCAAGGCTGAGTGGCGCGGTACCACGAGAAATTGATCTTTCGATATACGACGAGTGATTGGAGGGGGAAAATGGGAAAAAAGGGAATTTTCGAATTTCTCGAATTGTGCGTTTGTTTGTTTTTTTTTTAATTTTTAGGTCCTAAGTAATACCTACTATCCCTTTAGCACCAAAGACCGGTTTTCACAACTAAGGTCATGTCTATGACTCGCTCAACTTGTTCCCATCACCTGAACCGCTCCACAAATAGTTGCTAGTTGAAAACGAAAACCAAGACGGATCGCAAAAAGAATAGAAAAACAGAAGTTCGTTTCGAGTAGGTCTTAGGCAGTGTATTCCTCATACATTCTCTCGCCCATCACATTTCCCAAATTACAAAATTGCTCAATTTCCGCTGCGAGCTGGGGGTGAGTTGACGGGCTTCCTCCTCAATTGTCGGCCCCCCTTCAAAATTGGTTGGGGTCTTGACTGACTTCTAGGGACTTATCCCGCCTCACTCCTGTTCCTAGGCATTCAAGGCCTCTAAACCTAGCCCCCCCGATATCATCGTATCTTTCGAGGCAGGTTGACTTCCTACTTCGGCCTTCCTTCCAGTTGCCTTCGCTCAGGCTACTGTAGCGCACTCTCGTTGGCTGGCCTGTCGAATAAAAAACTATTGGTCCTTAGTTATCGGGCCAGCTCGGCTCGGTCGTGCTAAGCAGTCTCGACTATCCGAACGGTGATGACCACCACAGTTGCGACACTTGGTGGTATCCTTGCACTCCACTGCTGAGTGTATTGTTGAGCTACAATTACAGCAATCCGGAGTGCGGGGGCAGCCAAGGGTTGCGTGGTGGCCAATGCAGCGATGACACTGCTCAATTCTGCGACGAGGCTGGAGCTTTTTAGCCATTCTAGACTCGTCGAAAAGGCGGAAGCCCGAACGAGGTATGAGCTCCCAAAGAAAAAGGACATGACAGTTGCTAGTGGATGCACCGGGACGGCATGTCCCGTGCGGTCGCACTTGTGACGGCTCTTCGAAGGTCATTCTAGAGATCTCATCAGAGATCCAATTTGCGTCGAACGTACAGTTCATTTCAGAGTGCGGACCTCTACTAGCACATTGGCTTTCCGGAAGGCGACAAGATCGAAGATGGCTCGAGTTTGGCGTTGATCCCCGCCAATTTGGATGAGGCGTCTGGGAGGCCTTGTCTTTGTTCGTTGTTTTTGCCAAAATGGTAAAACCCGACTTAACTCGGTGTATTGAGCTACGTGTAATGGAAACTCATGTGGTATGATCCAGAAATGCAGATATGATACCCGCGGGGGCCAATTTCCGCAACGGGTGGTTGCTGTCAATTCGAAGGAAGAATCTTTTGTCTATTTTTGCCTTGACAGACTCTTTTTTTGGGGCTGTGGCCGCAGGTTACGGCACAGTATTCACTTTTGGGACAGATTTTTGTCGCAGCCCGTTTTTGACCACCGTGGCCCATATGCTTTTTGAAGGCTATGATGGTGGGTTTGCTGTAACTTTGCTCCTGGCATCAGGAGCTTTCAGAAGAGTATTCGCCAGGCGAATAGGAAGAATGGGTGGTGAAGAGGCCGTACCCGTAGCCACGTATTGCGCTATAGCGGTGCGTCGTTCTTCGGCGTAGATAATCGGTCGAAGCTTGGGCGGAAATTCTGCTTTTGGAGCAGCGTTCTCCGTCAGTCCTGACACGGTTGGAGAAGATTTAGAAGGCCCTCCTATCCCGTGGGGAAGGAGGCTGATTGAGGAACATCAACAATTTTGACTGACCTGATCATGTCAGTATCAGGCGCAGAGACGGTGGGAAGGGCTTTTTCCTTCCCTTTGCTTGGAGCCTTGCCCATCTCCACGCACCTTGGAAACTGAACAAGGCCCGTCGTGTGATCGAGAGGATTCGGACGGGCTCTCGTGTTGTCCAACATGGCGTTGGGACGCTTTTTCCAAACAGGCGGCATGATAAGAATGCCGGAAGATAGATCTCAATTTTCTGAACATATGCGACAAGCGCGAGAGGTAGGAGAAAGGAAAAAAGGATTATTCAAAATTTGTCAGGAATGACAACTCTAGTCATGTGTCATGGCTAGAAAGCTGAATACACGTTTAATGTCAAAAAAATTAAACAAATGATACGTGCTTTGAGTACAACTTTACACTGAATAGTTCTCCTCGAATATTAACATATCAAAAATTCTTACGGTAGGCTTCGAAGCACCCCTTCAAATGTTGCCATAGCTACAGCATTAGCGGGAAAAGCTCTCATGAAACACGGCAAGAATCCACGCCAATATCCCCTCCATCCAGCTTCTTTCCAAACACCTCGTGCAGCACTCCACCACCCATCACCCCAACCCTTCCATTTGGGGTTCCCATCGCCTAGTCCAGCCCCGAGAGCGTCTGTCATGATTCGCTGCTTGATTACGTCGCTGGGGTAGCTAATGCACCAAAATATCTGCGCTGAGAGTCCGCCGGCCCAGAAATTAATCATTGAAGTGCTCAGAGCTGTATGAGATTTCAGCTCAGTAGATATCATATCATAGCTTCCCCACCAAAAGAAGAATGCAGAGCGAAATATGAGAGTTGCAACAAAACCATGATAAATCCCTCGAATACCATGATGAGTATAAATCTTGGTTGCACAGTCTACTGGCCCGTTATATAAACGTTTGGTGCTAGAGAATTGGACCTGAAGACGCGCTTTGATGTGTTCAATTGGTGAAGCTATGGTAGATACTGTAGCTCCGGCTAGAAAACCGGAAATAGCGTGACCGAGGGGCGGTAAATTGGGCTGGGATGAAGAATAATAATCTTTCGTTGCTAATGCTCCGGTAGATGTCGATGGAACAGCAAACAATGTGCGTTGAAGAAATCTTCGATAGAACGATAGTGATCCTAAAGTAACGCTATCCATAAAGACCCAGCCTATTAGAGGAGGTGTAGCACCTTTGTAGAGCCCAGCTACTCCCTCTTGGCGCACCGTTTGAAGAAGGCATTGTAGCGGTCCAGAAAAGTGAGACTTGGGTTGGGTTTGTAGACGTACTTTAATAGTATCAAAGGGGTGACCGACTGTTCAGACAAGTAATTAGTTAATCTTTCATTGTAACTTGATTAGAGTCGTAGATGATAGGCCTTGATTACCAGTGGAATGGCCAAGATCATCTGACAATATTGTACTCACCACTTAATTTAGTGATACCTGAAAATATTCCTGCGACAAATGCTTGATAATTTCTTGGTTTTTCGATCTGCTCTTTCATGTTTTCCTCTCCATGTCGTGGAAGAAAATTATTTCACGGGAAATTAAAAATTCTGCATGCGCCGCTCATAGTCGCGTCTCTTCGGTTTCTGTTAAAGAAAGGAGGAGACAAGTAACCGTGATTCCAAACAGCGAGTTAGTAATGCATGACACAATCAAGAGTATTTGACTATGCAAGTCGAGGTGATCGAGGTCTAATCATACGGGAAAAATTGGCTGGATGATTTATTCGTTTTTCTACGAGGTTCGAGCCCCAGTCCAAAAGGTGGGTCATGTTTTAGAATTGAGAATTTGAAAATTTGAAAAATTGAAAAATGATTCTTTTGTAGCAAATTTAAATGACGTAAGAAGCCATCTGGCTATAAGACAATATCAATGGGAGTAGAATACAAAATAAGTGAAGTCCCCACTGAGTCTATAACTAAGAAGGACTCCTTAAGCCTTCTTAAAAGCTTTAAGGCAACAGTACTATACATATTTGATTTATGCTATCAATTTTGGCAAAAGGCTACATAGCGTTCCACGAAGCTTCTGGTACCAATTTTACTTCGTTTTTGTTATATTTACAAGTTATTAGTACTATTCAACATTTGTACCTACCTTGCAGTATCATGGCGGGTGTAGGAGCTGGTGGGAGTAAATCCAGCGGTCTAAAGGCGTCACGAACAGCGCCAAAATCAATAACAAAAAGTTCTGAAGACAGTGGGACGCAAAGAATTCCAAGGAAAAACAGACCTAAAATCTCTGAGAACCAATAATAATATTAATTCTTCATTATTCTGATTTGGCGCCTTGAGGCCCGTGCAGATTGTGTCGGAAGATATGTTCTTTTGAGTCGGATGACCCAATTTGTCGTTCTGGAGCACTCACACTCAGATTTCATTTGCAGATATCACTCGAGGTTAACTATTACGACGTTAACCTCTTCCGTGCTTGCCCACCATAGGGAAAAGCGTGAAAAACCTGTGGCTATCCGAGTCTGCTTTCATCATCCAACAAGTACAATACCACCGCGAGAGAGAGCGGTGTGTGGGTCAGACTGGAGTCGAATCAGATTTCTCCTGTTTCAAATGGGTATATGCTCAAGCTTCCCAGTATCTACGAGGGGGGACGGCCCGAATGGTGTACCACTGCACCCTTCAACCCCCTGAGAACCATTGGAAAAAGGTTAGACTTTGAATGATTGTTGAATTGGAGGAGATCAATTAAGCCCATAAAGTTTTCGATTATCTCAAGAAGGCCTGGACATTGATTTCCCAGAATAAGTATATAATCGAAAGAGGATGAAGGTGTCAGAGAGGGTCATCAAGATGAGTCTTGTAGACCCTACTCCAAAGATGTCCCTGCAGTTGAAAGAGCTGCTAACAAAGGCAGAACAAATCACGAAAGGCGCTTACGCAATTCGGCAAATGCGAAGCAACGACACTGAGGCGCTCATTCACTCGGCGCCTCAGAAAGATGCAGCATTCAACATGAAATAGCCAGAGGATTCTCAAATCTTGGGGCAAGGCTTTCCTGCTAAGGTTTTCGGCGTCCCGGTGATGAAAGAATTGAAGGGGGTGAGATGCCAACAACACTGGCATAATCAAGGAGGTTGAGACAGCGACTGAAGCTCGAATTCACGGTCTTATAATTAATCAAATTAGATGGCTACATGATAGAAATCAATTCGAATGGCCCAAGAAAGACGGCCACACTAGAGGATCAATAATGGTCAACCTTCCATCGAAGATACTACAAACGTAAGTGGTACGACACTGCCTCGTCATAAATGCCATGCTATTCACCGCTCAAATATGGTATCTACGATCCCACCCAAAACTGTTTTGAACTGCAGCCAGTGGGAACATGCGTAGAAGTCGTGTGCAAAAACAGCTAGGTGCGGTAAGTGAGCTGGCGCCCACCAAACTCGAGACTGCTCGAGGAAAAGATTTTCTAGCGCAAGCTAAGGTATGTAACACCGTTCGCAGCAGAAAGCAGTGTGTCGAGCCCACCAGGTCCACAATGGGTGTGCGGATAAAGCTCGGATTGGGCTGTTATCTCGAACGGCGAGTATAGGGAATGAGACACCAGTGACGGCAGCGGTACGAACAGGCAGAACGACTAATAATCGGAGATCCACTCTAGTCAATAGTAAAGAGACTGTCGGATCAGGACGGGTCCTGGACATCCACGAAAGAAAGTTATGGCCCCAACGGCATCAAGTATCGTACGGGTAGAAGAACGAGCCTTGGGGCCGACTCTTTGAATACTTCCACGACCTGGGCCGAGCGAAGAGAAATCCTCTTTCTCCAATTTTCCTAGACTTACTTCAATCAGTTGAAGAGTTGACGAAATTAATAGCAATAATGGTAATTTTTACGAATTAATGATACGAAGGTAGAGCCTCGGTATTAAACTAGGCTTTACTAACATTGTGGGATTCTGGGTTTCGTTGTTTTAAAGCTGTTTCTCTTCAAAACGCGGCTATTTGTCACCACTGGGCCAAATATGGGAATTGAATAGGAAAATAAACAAGGTTGCATATACGTATATTCTATCTACTTCATATGTTCTGAAAGACACTGAGAGTCATACCCTAAAAACTTTGGATCATTAAGATTTGTACAATAGCTAGACAAATAGAGTTCTCCACCTTGATTGCCTAAGAATTCCTCTCGAACTGACCATGAACGGCACTTTGTGAATTGTTTTTGCATCGGATTTTAATTGCGAATACAGCTATCTAGCTATATGACAATATCAAAGAAAAGTACAAAATAGATGACTCAACATACAAAAGAGCACTTATGCCTCGGATTTCATTTGCAAGTAGCATTGCAAATTTCTGGCGGCTTTTTCTTCAGCCCAACTCAACCCTCATCCGTAAGTACCCACCCAGGGGAACGTCTCAGAAACCCTGAGTTATCCAGACATGCCTCAATTATCCACTGAATATTTTCCGCGCGAAATGTGAACTGGGAAGTCTCCTTCCAAAGTGGAGTAGGTGTCCAGGCTACTCAGACTATACCAGAGAACTCCATCAGGAGGCGGACCAGCGCACCTTCCATCGTTGGCTTGTTCTTCTGGTGTCAGCTGCACTCTGGCAACCGAAGGCTTGGCGCACACAATGCTCTTCAATTTGTAAAACTGCTTGCCAAAATTCAAAATCACACGACCGTCTAGATCGTATGTATCCTCCGTGTCATCTTGTAAACTTGTCCCGACCCCTCTCACTTCCATCCCAAAGCACTGTCTCCCAGATATGTGCGTCACGCTTTGCTTCCTCCGTCTGGTGTAAATATCGGCGTGAGCGTTAATTTGGTGTCCAGCTGAAGCCAGATAGTAGTCGATGTGAGGTAGGGTCATCGATATAAGGATTTATTAGGTCGTGCTTGTAGACTTGACGAGGCTCAAATGAGATTCGAGCGCGTTGGGATTGAAAAATTGACAAGGCAGAGTATTTTGAATCATTTCCTCGTTGGCAACTTCTAGTGTACTGCGACATTTGATAGAACTTGGCTCTGGGAGAATGTTACTCTCCAAGGTTCGTAGAGGACACCGCGTACTGGTGTTAGATCATGCTATCCTCCACGTTGGCCTTGCTCATTGCTAATATACTAAAATGAAATACTTTGCCCACACCAAAAGATTTCCTCATATCGTCCTTTGCGTCTTGGTGTCTCGTTTGCTTCGAGCACATCTACCTGTGGATACCCCAACTTCATGGTAGACCTCGAACAACTAGACTAAAATTGTTGAGTGCCCTGTTACCATCTAAATTAAAGCTTCAAATTAGTTCAGGAGGATAGCTTGGAAGGAAATCAAAAATTCTGGCCACTACCACTTGCGATCTGTTGGAAATATCACGCAATGAAATGGGCGCAATATTCGTGGAACGAAAGTAGAAGTTGACTAAAAGAGTGTCATATTCGGATTGCTGCTGAAAGTGTGGGAGATGTGCGCTACAAGTACAAGTGTAAGCGACACAGAGCCTAAGCCACAGCGTAAACGAGTGTGGCGCCATCTAGGCATAGAAAACCCCCCAATAAACTCCTTGCGCCCACGCCATACAGCCGCTCATATGTCCAATAGGTAGCCTGAAGCGCTACCATATTGCCCATTCCAACCTCTTATATACATACAAGATCGTGTCGGGAACCTAGACGAAATGGAGGGCCCGTACGTCCACAACACTCCGTGTCTCCATTTCCAACATAATACGTTGTAAATATGTTTCCAGAGATAGATTGAAATCAATTTGGCAAGCTCCTGTTTGAAATCGGAGCAACTTCTTCATTGGTCGTTGAGGCGAGATTAAGTGTGGTAAGAAAGAGGTTGAAGCCTCAGATGATAATGGTAAGAAAGGCATTGTCGAGAAGTCGTCATTTTGAGATATGCTTGAGGTAGCTCTCGACTTTGATTCGGATGCGACTCTTCTTGGCAATTCCAGATATGCAGAGCATACCGAGCGATGACATAGGCACCATTAGAAGGTGAAGATTTCGTCTTTGCCGTTCTGATCAAGGCAACGTGGGTCAGAGAGGAGCCGAATGTGTTAGATATTCATACAAGCAAGTCGCACGATAGACATTCACACTTATAACATGATGCTGATTGTGTTGGAAATGGAGACACGGAGTGTTGTGGACGTATGGGCCCTCCATTTCGTCTAGGTTCCCGACACGATCTTGTATGTATATAAGAGGTTGGAATGGGCAATATGGTAGCGCTTCAGGCTACCTATTGGACATATGAGCGGCTGTATGGCGTGGGCGCAAGGAGTTTATTGGGGGGCTTTCTATGCCTAGATGGCGCCACACTCGTTTACGCTGTGGCTTAGGCTCTGTGTCGCTTACACTTGTACTTGTAGCGCACATCTCCCACACTTTCAGCAGCAATCCGAATATGACACTCTTTTAGTCAACTTCTACTTTCGTTCCACGAATATTGCGCCCATTTCATTGCGTGATATTTCCAACATATTATACCCGCAAGGAGGAAAAGGAGTCGAAAAATACAAAGCCTGGGTCCTGGGTCAAGGAGGACTGTTGCTCTAATGGGACAAATAATGTTAGTGAGGATTGGCAGCTAAGATTTGGAGCGAAAGGAGGAACATGTTTCTAGGGACCATGCTGGGACCAATGTTTTTGAGGGGTTTTTGTTATAATGTGAAATCACTCAGCCAATTAGACAAGCTTTATTGGATGATATAGAGATCTATACAAGATGTAGTTGGTGTAGTCACATCATACCAGTTACATGTGGATGATTTGAACAAGAATGTAAACTATTCTATAGCACATAATAGAATGTCTTGCATCACAAGATGGAATATTCTACCAGCAATTAGACAGATGAGCTTTAGGTATAAATAGGAGTATTCTCCTTCATATAGATAGCAATCATCAGGAAACGAATCCAATAAAGCGAACGCATATCATCGGCCACTACATAATAGTGTCAAGCACATATTGATAAAGCCACTGTTTGTATGCAATTCCCCTCCTCGTAAACACAACAGTTTTCAACTTTGGATTTTTTATGGGCGCTAAGACCGACATTTAGGCTAATTAGACAGGAGGGCTTCTTTTGTCAATGAGTCAATGGCTCTCCCCAATGCTCTGGATGGCACAAAAGAAGTCGGGCTAAGCTACTGTACAGCAATCACGCTCTGTCGAGACTTTTCTGACATTTCGGCACGACCTTCGGGATGGGGTTGGAAGGAGGCTAGAAAGGCAGAGGGTGAATTTCACGAGGTACCCACAAGTCTGCAGCGCCCAGCTGGCCGTCCTCTTCGAACGCTTCGAAAGGGGCACTATGTCTTCGGATTGAGTCCTAATGTCGGTATTAGGAGAGCTCCGCACCTAGTGGTTTTTTCGATTTTCCCGGCTGCCATACACCCGCAAATGGTCATTGTTTCGTTGGCTGGAGAGTGGAGATAATGAAAGGCGGAGGGCTCCCCTAAGTGTATGATTGAATGAGGACTCGTGAGGGGTGGTACTGTTTGAGGGGAGCTGTATGGGAGGCATAGGAGGGGATAAACTACTGGTATAGGTATCCTTGGCCTGTAGGCAGAGAGGACCTGCATGTCCTAGATAGTCATAGACCCAGACAGGACAATAAAATGAATCAAATCCGTACCCGGCAACCAACGGCGTGGGCTGAATTATTTCTGGATAACTTCATCACAATGTTATCATGCAGCCTCTATCACCTGTACTTTCACCGAGTGGTGGGAAGAAACTCGATTCGTATCAGAGAAGAGCTACTAACAAATTCAGGAGAGTCGTATTCGATGGTGCTCACTCTTCAACTTTATAGAATACTTTCAAACTAGAACATATCGTATTTTTTGTCATAGCCGTGTTAATAGTGAATACGCCATAGCTCACATGAGAAGTTGAGACAACGGTTAGGATGGTATTCACACTGGACGTACAGTGTAAAAACACTTCTTGTACAACGCCTCGGAAAACCAATAGATACGAGACAGACAGTTGAATTGAATTATTTTAGGGCCCTGAGCTATGCTCTATATCTCCAAGGAGTCAAAGACCGGTGTACACGGCCGAGATCATGCTTTCCGCATGCCCACTTCGGTTTCACCGCGTGAACCACTACACAACCAGTAGCTAGTTAAAAGAAAGAAAAATAGAAACTTCCGTAAACTCCCATAACTAAAGTTCCAAGCCCAGTAATCCAGTTTGTGGTTAGAAAAACGACACTTCTCGTCTCGTTTTCCTACCTGCCATGCTTCGTGCTATGACTTAGTTACCACCGTCTCCGCTGAGAGCTGGAGACGGATCCGTAGGTGGGCCCCCGAAGCAGCCGGTTTCCTGCGCATAATTTATAAAGTTCTCCAGGCACTTCGGCCCGTAAGGGCTGAGATCAGTTCGCGAAGTAGCTGCCGGTAAAGTTCCTGCCCGCGTGGCTTGCGTCGTCGCATAAGAAGTCCCAGATTTCGATACCTAGGTGGACATGCTTCTTCTCACCAGTCGTCGAGAAGCGCTTGACGTTTCCGGTTCATGAGCCGACGAACGTACGCCATTGTGACGGAGCCAGGCTGGCTGTCTTTGCTTGGCAGTTGTCGGAGGCCGGAGCGTGTGTTATGCTCAGCTATGTAGGATGGTAGATCTAGTAGCTGGTGCATAGGTAGTTATTATGGCAGCATGGCGTTATGGCGCATGGAGGAGATCCAGTCTCTACATAACGACATTACAAGTAGTAATGTGTGCATTACGAGAGATGGGTCGTTGATGTAGGACAAATAGCATGGCTGCTTAGTTGGTTGCACACTTTGGTGAGCTGCATACTGGTAACGTGATCGGTCTACAAACGAACAAGCTAGGGGATAAGGGACGAGCTTCCCCCAATCTGTAATATAACAATTATCATAGTCACTTCACCTCTGCACATTAATGAAGACATCTCTCCACACACTGTCTTAGCTGTTCCAGCGCAAGTGTACATTCCCATTTCATATACCAAGTAAAACAGCGTGCAACTCTATCTGCATCTTCGTTTCCCTGTATCCCGGAGTGGGCCGGTATCCACTTCACCGAGACTAGAGCCTTTTTTGATAGCGCCCTAAATTGGCGTACGTCGTCAAGGCTTATTGTGGCAATTCCCGTCAACAGTGCCTTCACTGCAGACTGACTCTCCGTCAATACATTGATCTGCTGCCTGCCGTCCCTTCCCCGTTCTTCCTCTCCAACAATCCCAGCGCAGCTTCCAGGGCCTTCCTCACTCCTATAATTTCCGCATCAAGCACTTCACCACTATGCTTGATGCCTCATCCCTTCGACAGAGTTCTTTCATCCCTCTTCAAGACGAACCCCCATGCTGAGCGACCATTTCCCCCCGACGATCCATCCGGTTAGGCGCAAATATCTGATGCCGGCACACTATCAATGAACCGAGGTGCCTTCTCTTCCTCCTCTAACCTTGAGCCGAAACTCGAAAGATAGCTTGGCACGTCATGGATGTCAATTGAGGCACCTCCATCGCGAAGAACATTTGGACGACTGTGAATCAAAACAATGTTTCGTGACAATATTCATGATTTGATGCCGCAGAATCTAGTTCTGTTCACCGTAAGGGTTATCCGTCGGGTACAAATGACTGTAAACGCGGAATTGGGTGACGGAACCAGCCGTGCAACCCCAGTGCCGCGCTCGCAAGATGATCTACATTCTCCATAATCATAATCTTCATTTTAATTTGATAGATGTGAAAGGCTTTGAAAGTTACGCAGCCGCCGTCTACAGAACTGTCGCGTGTCAGTGTGAATTCTTATCTTGATGGTGTATATTAATATAAAGTCACCACAACTCCGTTTATCTCTTCTACTCATCACCTATTATCCATCGTCCTTGACATCTCATTCATATCCTATTCACATCGCCCTCAATCTCTTTCAACGATCGCCAACAGCATCCTACTCGTCAAGATGACAATCTCAGATGAAGACGTCCAACATTTCATTGAATATCCTCTTGAGAAAATTACATCCCTTTTCCGCCGACATTGTGATTTTGAAAATTTCAAGATCGATAGAGAAAGCCCTAGCGAAGTCATTGATCTTACACTCGTATCTGATCTTCTGGTTAATTTGTTAAGTTTATTTCAGAGTTATGCCCAAAGAAAGGTGGTTCCCTCGACCATCGAAAAAAACATGTCTGGCCGGTTGCTTTCCATCCTTAACCGATTAGAATCAAAAGCTATTAACACCTCTTACTTCCTACCTCTTGTAACCTCGATTCTTTTTAATTCTGCCGATATCGAAATATGGGGTCATCTGACTGATCTCGTCGACAATCTTGAGCCAACCACACCCCTACAGCATGACGCATCTTCATCCCATCATCCCGACGCACAACATATATACACAACGGCGCAACTAAAAGGTGCTGATGAAACTATGGACATACTCAAAGATGCTTTGAAAAAGGAGCTGACGGGAACTGTCTTTGAAGATTTCACGGGGTTTTACGAGATATTCTTTGAGAAACCGCTTTGGGCGAGCAAATGCCAGAAGATCTCCGAGAGCTATGCTAGTAGGAAAGACCAAGAATCATTCAAATTTCCGGACGATCGTACGGAGGCAAATGTATGGCAGTGGATCAAAACGGTCCAGACAAAATTCATCGAGCAGTATCGGGATCCTCCGGCCGAGAAAGCAGCAGACGAAGCCAATACCCCGAATGCATCCGACCAATCAAACGCATCCAAGAAGAGTAAGGCTTTTCCTCTGCGCGGACAGAAGTTCCGGACAACCAATGGATCCCAAATCAAGGGCGGCCCTTGTTTCCGACAAGTAGACTTTTTCATCAAGAGTCGCAGCCTTCGTCGCGGTACTCCCCACAGCTGGCGGGATATACAAGTCTTGGGAGAGATTACCAAGCTTCCCACTAGTGCGTGGATGGATAAGTTTCTCCAACTTGCTGTGTACATGCGGGAGGTGTTTACGGCTCAGCCATTGCGTAAGTTTGTGCATGGATTCCTTTTGTTAGACACCAAACTGCAACTGTGGGTGTTTGATCGGTCGGGCCCATACTCCACAGGCTTCATTGATATTGGTGAAAACCCTGAGGTGTTCGTATACGTCATAACGGCCTATATGATGATGAGCGACGAGGAGCTTGGGATCGATACACTGGTACAATATGAAAAAAATCAGACGATAATCACTATCACTGATGCCAATACCAAAGAGCCTCGCAATCTGATTCTGGAAGCTGAGCCGTTCTTCGCACAGAGGGTGATCGTCTCCCGTAGCACAGCTTGCTACCGCGCTCTGGATGGGACGTACGTGGTCAAAATTTCATGGAGAGCCGTAGATAGGCTGTCTGAAGTGAACCTTCTCATGCAGGCACGCGACGTGCGAGGTGTGGCTCGGCAGATCGGCTCACGGGATGACTCGAAGATAAGTGAACTTCGCAAGGGTTTGAAAATCACGAGTGAGATGAAGAGAGACGTCCATCCAGACGACTCTCTCATGATAATGACCGTCGAGACGATAGGGGCAGGTCCATCGATTCCGGCCGAAAGCAATGAGCATAGTATGTCTGAGAAGCGCAAAGGCCGAACTGAAGATAGTATTGGCGACGATGGCGACCAGAGAAGCAAGAGGATGCGCGTGTGGGATATCGCAAGAGTAGCGCAGGAAAATACAGCTATGATAAGCGACCGAGGCAACGGAAATCCGATAGACTCAGGAAAGGCAGCACCTGTGAAAATAGTGCGCCGCTCGACGAGAACCAGCTCTGGAGAGCCAGTCAAATACTTTGTCCAAACTCGAAAAAGCGGCCGATCCCGCAAGTCTGAGTCCAGCAAGTCGGGATCTAAAAGACGTCGAAACCCGGATCTTGCGCAAGATGACGATTCTACAGTGCCTGCGCATGAGTTGAAAAGGCTTTGCATTTCGAGTACTGACAGAGAAACAGTGTCTGGAGGTGGAACAGCGCCAATTTCTACTCAGGTGGGCCCACTAACTTCTGCTCCTGGGGACCGAACAGGCGATGGTGCTGAAGCGACTCCTACTGTCGTGAACGATGGAGGTGTAGACAATCCCGGAACGCCAGGGCTGTCGATTGCCTATCGAGATCGTCAAAAGACATTCATTGCCACTGAACCTCGTGGTCGATCGATTGGCGAGGAAACAACAGCCCTTGACTTGTTGCAGGGTATCCGCGATGCGATCTTGGCCCATCAGTCACTTTTCAAGGAGGCTAGGATATTGCATCGGGACGTGTCTATTAATAACATTATACTGACCGATCCGGCTGTTAACAATGGTCGGTATGGGTTATTGATAGATCTTGACCTGGCAATATCTTTGAACGATGTGAATAGTGAACAAAATAGGCAGACAATGACTGGTACTATGGAATATATCGCCCTCGGAATATTGCAAGCGAATATTTACGAGACCGACAAGGGGTATAAGCATACGTATCGACACGACCTAGAGTCTTTCTTCTACGTTCTCGTATCAGCGTGCATCCGATTTGGCTGGGGGAACAAAAAGTCTGGCCACACTGATGTTTTATCGAAGTGGTACACAGGGACAGTCCAAAATATGTATTTGAATAAAAAAGAAGCGGTTTCTCACAAATATTTCAAAAAATGTCTCCTGGACCATTTCTCGACGAGGTACGACTGTGTCAAAGCACTAGTGACAAGATTGCGGATAATACTATTTGATAGATCAACGGGCGTCGATACAAGTACGAATCCCTTCGCAGATGAGGTTTATGACCTCATTCTTAAAGCGTTTGACGATGAAATCAAGGGGATCAAATGTGAGTGTTCATACCTAGTGTGATATCAGACTGTTCTTTAAGAATAAATCTTGACTAACTGAGATAAAATGATTAGCAGTCGAACAGCTTGATAGATCAAGTAAGCGCAGGAGATGAAGCTGTTTGGGATATGAAATAAATAATGTCGCTAACACCAAGAGTAGATACCGAAACAGTGAGTGTAGAATGCAAAAAGTTGAGAACGTGACATCGTTAACACGCGGTACTTGAATGAGCCGGTAAGTGGTCAAAAAATGGACTACCTTTAGTTATGGGACTAATAACGATCCGTAGATAACAAATCAATTTTCTTTAACAGTCCTTCCTCATCAACGAATGAAGGTTGCTATATTGGAACAAAGGGGGTAGATTGTGGAAACAGACGTATACATACACAAATAAGCAAATATGATATTAAATGATGTAGAACTTGATGATCTTGGATTTTGTCTATTATTGAGAAAAATATGAAACGAAAAGCTCAATTATTTTGGAACAAAGTTTTTTTGACTGATACAATTATGCTTAATGTAATAAGTGGGTAACAACAAAAAAAGTTTAGTAGCATCTGTCCCCAACAATCACGCGGTATGAAAATGGCATAGAGGCAGATATGGGAACGCAAGACGGATGGCTATGTTATCGACATTAAAACTTGTTGTCGATATTGTATATGTATGTCTATTATCACAGACATTGGAAATAATTCAAGAGATTGCTTAATGAATGGCTAGATTTGATTCCGATATAATATTGTAGAAGACTTGTCCCAACTATCAGAGGGCTACAACGTCTTTCTCTATTTACAGGTAAATTTCCCATATTCCAACCACGCTAGCCATACAGGACGTAGCATATAAAACTTGAATCGTATCATCATTTTGGGATTGAGGTTTACTGTGCATATGCTACTCGAGTCGCATGTCTGACTACTATGCGACACGCTTAGGTATCAATCTAAAAACCCACACCAAAACCGAAACTACTCACAACCCTGATGATGACCCCATGAATAATTGGAACAGTAGCCTGCAACATAGCACAATTAGGCTAGACATTGTTGACCAGGACCTAAGCCGAACACTATGAAAGGAGAATTATTGAAAGGCTATGCTGAGCTGGAATGACGTACCGTTAGGATGAAGGTATGGAAGGAGGTAGCTATGGCTTTAAGAGAAGTAAAGTTCGTGAGTTATACTCTTAGGACTTGGATCAATGGACGAACTTGAGGATATTCCCTGGTATTCTCAAGTGTGTGAATAATATGGAGATTGTTTGAATTTCCTATTGTATGAATTGCTTGATTTATCTACGTGACAGGACCTTCCTCTATATACATGAATAAGGGGGTTCTGCACACTAGTGGATGTTCCAACATCTGTCCTTGTCTAACCGAGAAAGGAAGGATGTGAGAGATCCTAGCGCCAATAGATACCATTAGGAATCTATTGGGAAATACTATGTCATACCAATGAGTGATGATTTAGGTCAATCATATCCCATGGCGCATGTGCACATTATTCTAATGTGAACAGTTTATTGTAATGCAGTCATGTTACTCCCTTAATTACAACAAGAATTAGGGGTAACTAAAGTGAGTTCTATTTACACGGGTTGTGGGTGTTTGCTGAGTCTTGGAATATTATCGTGTAATAGATGATACTAGAATGATATGAATAATGAATCCCGATAATATTCGATTGATTGCTTGCTTATTATTGTGGTTACTTCTATCTGAACATAAAGATATCGCTATATCATATACAAGTCTCTTGTGCTAGCCTTTCCCCCACATGACTACGCCAGTACTACTTGATCGTAAACTGAGATTCATTGACTCATTTACATCTCCCGTTGCCTACGTCTCACTAGACCCTAGGTTCACAACTATGACACTATGCTAAGTATATATGATACTTCTTGGCTGCGACTTCCTGACCCGGATGCTTCACCCAAGCATATATGACTCTGCCTCAAACTCGTCATGCGTGGTGGTTTGACGCCCCTGTCAAGATATCTATTATAGACCTTGTATCTGTCGTAAATAGACATTTACAAGTCATGCTCACGATATTCACAACACTGAGTAATTTCATGAGAAGATTAGCACGCATATCACTTGTTGGTTTTCCATGTTCATGCACCTACACTGCCATGCTCTTTTCTTTTCTTTTTTCAGATCATTTAATGTACATGCAAATATATAGCTATTACATATGATTGGTGCTATGTTTACATATTGGATGACTTTTTTGACGTTAGAGACACTGATACTCTGTATTTCATTCCCAAATATCACTATGAGGTATGTTCGCTTACGCAAGCAGTCGATCCTCCTACGTAAGTACCCACCAAAGTGAATTTAAAAACCTTCGATTACCCAAGAATGTCTTCGTCATAAGCATGAGCAGAAAAGAGCGGCGTTTAGTTTACGCCAGAGAAGTACCAACTTATGCATTTCACACGTGCAAGGAAGCGACATAACCTAGAAGCAACTGTCAGCACAAGAGGTCATCTGACGTCTCCACAGTCTTCCCTTCGAGTCCTTGGCATATACTTCGATCCCTGAACGATACCAAAAACTGGGAATTAACGCCAATATTGGGAGCTCCCCCGAACTCAAGAGCCTTAACCGCTACGCTCTTGGTCGCCTTCTTGCAGCTCGCTCAGGTCATGGAGACTTTGCTGACTACCACCGCCGCTTTCAGCACTTGGACGCTCTTCTTATCTGCGCTTGCGGGCTAGAAAAGTCGCCCGAGCACTTCTTCTTTTGTAGACTCAATCGGAGTCGTTCCCGCCTTTGCAGCGGAAATAAACACCCAACGACGGGAATTCGCTGGATCCTAGGCTCACCTGAAGGAGCCATAGCTTTTAGTAAATGGCTTCATGAAACGAGCTTTTTTGAAGCATGCAACAACAAGACTAACTAGTACCCCAAATTATATGCACTTAGCCTGTATTTGCTAGAGCTAAATTTAGAAGACTTCTGGTCTAGGTGATGGATAACTTTCCTTTTCATATATATAACTGTCTTCTCTACTGTATTAGAATACAAAAGTCTCAGCTCGAGAGTACTTTTGACTTCTTTCGATAGTTTGGGGTGCATGGCAGGTAGGCCTTGGCCCATTTATAACATGTCGGGCTTATTGAAAGGTATCGGCACGTCGGGTAGTTTATGTAGACTGAGCTGGCCAGCACTAGACCTTAAGGTTGTTTTTTTGGTTTGTTTTGTTTATTTTGTCCTAAGCTAGAGCTATGTTTTCCACATTGGGTCAAGGACAGGTGGAGCCGGCAGGGCTGTCTGTAATCTTTCCTACAGCCTAACTCGTTTCCACCTCGTGATTAACTACCAAAAGTGCAGCTGATTAAACTGAGACGAAAAATCAAGAAAATCAAATCTCCGAAAAACAGAAGATTCCTCCATAATGGACCAAGTCAATGTGCTCCTCACACATTCCCTCGTCCGTCACACCTTCCAAATGACAAATTTACTTAATCTCTGCTGAGAGCAGTAGATGAGTTAGCAGGCACCTTTGATCCAGCCGGTATCCTGCTAATTGTTAGTAGATGCCCCAGAAGGGGACATCGTCGAGGTTGCTGTGTCCTCAAACTTCTTCTTCAGATCCCAGCACTCCGAAACCTGTTGCCTCGGCCATTGCGATATCCTTCGCCGCGGCGACGATCTCCTCTTCGGCCTTTTTGGCTGCGGCCCTAGCTCGAGCCGCCTTCGCGAACTTCCCTTGCTCGAGTTGGCGTATCCACGCGAGCTGCTCTTTTGTCACCGGCCCAGACTTTCTGGGTCTGACTTTGCAGTCCCGAGAATCCGATCGGTGGGGTCCCCCCCAGTTGCGACACTTAGTGAAGGCCTTGCACTCGGCTTCCGAGTGCATGATGGAGCCGCAGTTCCAGCAGGCTGGAGCGCGGGAGCAACCACGAGTGGCGTGGAAGCCCAAACAGCGTTTACACTCTTCAATTTGGCGACGAGGCTTGTGCATGGTAGCCATACCAGACTCGTCGAAGATGTGGAAGCCCGCACGAGGAGCGACTTCACGGTCGAAAAGGGCATGCCAGTTTCGATACGGCGCCCCAGGTCGACACGTCCCATGAGGTCGGACCTGGATTGGATTTACGCCGGTCGTAATAGTGATTTGGGCAGAGACCCACTCAGCACTGACCGCCCTGGTTCCATCCTCTGAAGTTATACTTACAGGTACGTTCCGTATCTGTAAGGCTACAAGAACTGAAGATGCCTCGAGTTTGACGTTTTCACTCGCCAGCTTCGAAGAGCCATCTAGCATCTCTTGTCGTGTTTTTTCGTCCTTTGCTAGCATAGCAAAGCCGGTCCTCACTCGATGAAGCGAGGTTATTTTATCGGGAAAGTAAAGGAATATGTCCTCCAAATTACTTCTCACGCTGCTTGTGGACAGTTTTCGCCACGGGTGGTCCTTTTCAAGGCGAAGGAACAGTCGCTTATCGACTTTCGCCTTGGGGGTTTCTTTTTGTTGGGCTTTGACCGCAGGTCGCGGCTGTCACGGTTTCAGTACAAAATGCTTGGGCGATCTTGTAAGTACAGTATATTAATTATAATTCTCTGGAAAGAGAATTCCTCGATGTAAAGTCTACATATATATATATTCTAAATTACTGCCCTTCAAGATGATTCTCCCTGTGACCTGAATAATTGTAACGCTTCTACAACTACCTAGAAGGTTCTCGGTACACCTGTTATCCTCATGAACCTTCAGTGTGTTTCCAGAAGGTTCACTGAGAATATTCGAAGTTCTGTGGCTTCCGAGACCTTCCCCTTGTGCCATAGCCTACGCTGGCTAGCGTAGGCTACAGGAGTCTTTCGGCTTAACAGCCGTCACAGCGGCACAGCCTTCACAGTTGGGACTGCTTTTTGTTGCAGTCCGTGTCTGGCCACCGTGGCCCAGGTGCTTTTGACAGGCAGAACTGGGACGGCGGGAGTTGTGTTACTCCTGACATCGGGAGCCCTTGGGAGAGGGTTCGTCGGGCGAGGAGG